AACTCTTCCTGGGCTGGTGTTACCAGGGGCCTGGCTGGAGGCACTGCCATCAGTGGGAACAGCCCAGCCACCCCGAAGGCTTGTGGAGGCCAGGGGAACCTCTCTGCAGCATTCCCCACCTGCCTCCACCAAACATAGTCACTTTTGCTTCCTACTGTGCTGCTGACATTATTTCCATTTATGTGGTCCCCACTGTACTGGGGGTGAGATCTTCTCCAGGCCCTGGCTCTCTGCTTTTGAAGCTGTCCCAAAGCAGCTTCCAAGGAGGGGCCTTTTCTAGTGCAGCTTGGTATTACCAGCAGCATAATGCTGCTGGCGAGGCTGGAGGGCCCAGGCTGGAGGTCCTACTCCGGCTGGTCCTCCCCTGTACACCCATGTCCCTTCTCTTGCAGGGTCAGAGAGCAGCACCCACAAGACCTGCTGTAATTTATTTTCCCATTTCTTGATAATGTTTTCTGCCTTTACTGCTGTTCCATATTGTTTTGCACTAAAAGGTACAAAACTGATTTTGAAATTCAGACCACAGTGCTCTTCACTGAGGCTATAAAAATCTTTTCCTTATAAGAATCTTGTGCATATTACTGAGCAATACAGTAGTCCTGAGTGAATGCTGTTAACAGACAGGAATGTCTAATATCAAGAGTTGCTTTTCATTTTTGCACAACAACAACAAAAAATTCACATAGCAAAAGTAGTTAGCTAGAATGAGCCATCCCCATGGAGCAAGGATAGGGTGGGACAAGTTGTGTGAGGCAAAGATGTGGGTTTAGAGACAAGTTGAGCTATCCTGAGATCCTGCAAGTTTAGCTGAAGCTTTGACTCCAGTTTACAAGGGTTAGATATTTAGGTGGTGGTTACTGTCGTAGCCTTAGCTAAAGGTGTTGAAAATGTTTCTGGCATGATTTTTCTGGATATGCGTCCCAGGCAGCTGGAGATGGATGGCACATTCTTCAGGAAGGCAGCATGGGGTCAGAACAGCTCTGGTGCCATGGAAGTGCAAGCGGGATGATACTTCCCAGCAGTGTGTGCTGGTCTGGTGCCAATGAGGAGAGGCACCCAGGGTCTCTGCCTGCCTGCTGCAGAGCCAAGTGCTGGCAGCCATGCTGCCTGGGCACAGTCTCCCATGATGCCTGGGATGGGGTCTGTGCCTCCTCACAGAAAGCCTGGGGGCCGAGACTGATTTTGCTCACACACACCCCAGGCTTGACAGTGCTCGTGTTATCTGATATGGCAGCAGACAAGATGATTTGACAGTTGGGTTTTTGCTCCATAGTTACAGTGAAGTGTAGTTTCACGCCCGTCTGGTCCCATCTCCCTGATCCTCAGCAGGAGGGAGGAGGTGGTGCAGAGGTTGATGTATGGTCTTCTGCTTCTGAAGGTGACTCGCTTGACAGAGCCAATGCCCAGGTCTCAAGATGTTTGCACTAGCAGAGCTGCTATTCCTTCTAGTGTCCCCCATTTTCAGGACCTGGCTCTCATTCCTGGGGTGGGGCACTGGGGAGGGAAACGTTGGTTTCTTGCTCGTTTCCAGGAGACTGTCCCTGCTTGCTCCAGTGGATGGAGGCATCATGGCAGGGCTGTGCAATCAGATTCAGGATACAGGGAGGATGCATGTGGGTCCCTGGGGACTGGAGCTAGGAAGAGTCCAGTATACCCTGCTCCCAAGAAGTATCAAACAGCAACAGGCCTGTGCACAAGGTGCCCTGCTTCCATCAGAAGGAGAGAGATGGAGGGCTGAGACGTGTGTTGGCTTTGTTCCTCTAAACATTCGATCCTGGCAGAATACATGAATCTATAGGTGCTCAGCCTGAATGTGACAGTGCTGGGCCACATCCTCAATCTATGGCTTAGACAGGAGGGAACTAGTGACATTTCAGCAAGCTGAGAAGGCAGTGTTAAAGTAATGGAAGAGCTGGGTCAAG